ACATGAGTACAAATATATGTACATTTAATTCTTTCTTTGAATAAAAGTATTTTAATGCATAGTCATTAACCTCAATATGCAGATTATAGTATTATATCTTACACATCTTTCCTTGCAAAACAACCCACAAATTGGTTAGATTAATTAGATGTTATGTCTTAGGAGTTTTAATAATTAATGGTTGCATTCCTTTGGTTTTTATGAATCTTTGAATTTCACGTTTTTGAACATAGTGTGCCATGATTTATACAAAGTAACTTTTTTTTTTGTTCACAGACTTTAGCAACAGCAATAGTGCAACTTTATGTTGCTCATCCAGACAGAGACAGATGGAGCAGAAAACACTGTGGGGTTGCATGTTTTGTAAAAGACAACCCCAAACGCTCTTACTTTATACGTATCTTTGATATCCATGTAAGTACTAATGTCAGATGATATACACTACTTATTCCGCCAGCTTGCTTTCGCTTTTCAATTTTTTTTTCACTCGCTTTTGCAACCACTTGTTTAATTTGCCTGGATAATTTCCATTTTATTTCCAGCCACGCAATCGGAGAAATATTGACCGTCTGTCCACCTCACTAGTGGTCTTTCTGATTTTCAGAGATATTGCCTATAATTACCGGATTCTGCCGTAAATTCGCCCATCTGTTATGAAATGCAAATTTTCAACGCTCGATGCTGTAGAAATGAATGTCCGCCATGTTTCGACCTAAAATGGTGTTCTTTGACCTGATAAGTCAAATTGATAATTAACCAATGAAAACGATGGATGATGCCAACGTGTTAAAATTACCATAGCTCATTTAAATATGTTAATGTTATTGAACGCAATGCGGAAGAGATTTGCCGATGTTGTAGTACAATCTTTTGGCTTGGATTTTGATGGGAGAGCGGCATGATTTGTTTTTAAATAAAAAAAATAGTTGTTTTCAAAAGAGAAACTGAGCATTTGAAGAATAATTTAACATTGTTTACAGCGATAACAGCTCATCGTCGAAAAGAAGCTAACCCATTCATGCTAGTCGCAATAAACATCAATACTCTTGAATAGGCGTCAATGACTACGGCGAAACTTTTAGGCATCAGAAAAGATTAAAATAACACCTTAAAAAACTGCTGAAAAATCGCCCTGGGTGGTTTCTTGGTCCCTTTTTATTACGGTAGTCCCCGTTCGGACGGAGTCCAAAAACGGGGACTTATGTTTTGCCCTGTGTGCGTCCATGATCACCTGTATCTCGAACATGCATGGACCGATTATGTTCAAACTTCACTCATACATCACACATTATATGGGACATATGCACATGCATTTTTTTCATGATCCGATTAACAATAGCCGAATAGCGGCCATTTTAAGGCCGAAAATGCATCAAAATCGCACATTTTCACCATTCCGGACCCGGATCTCAGTTATGCATGGACGGATTTCGTTCAAATTTGGTACATACATTAAACATAATAGGACCTTGATGCACGTC